ACGTGGTGGGGGGGGGGGGGGGGGGGGGGGGGGAGAGAACGACCACCAGCTTCGCAATCCATTCTCCCCCCCCCCTCCCCTTTTTCCAATAATAATTATTTGCTAAAATTACAATTGGAAAAAAATATTTAATGCACAAATACATTTTGGTTGCGGCCTGTGACATGAATCTCCAGGTTTTACCGCTGATGTAAAAAATGAAAAAGGCAATAGGACGCATTGTGGCAGTTGATGACACTAAGGGGAGGAACTTGGGAAGTGCCCCCACGATGATTAATTTTTGTATTGGCCACTGAGTTTATGTATAGTCGAACTAATCTAAGTACATATATGTGTATGTCAATGTATGTATACGTATATATGCTGAGGACAAGATGGGTGAACTGCAGAGAGAAACTGATGAGAAAAAATGGAGGCATCAATAAACTTATATCGGGAAAATACAGAAGAATGGCATGCCGAAATTGAATTCAGAATGGATGATATAATGAAAGTTTGAATACGGTGTGGCATTGTTCAAAATGCACGAATAGCTTCCATTTCAGTTACTATTGATCATGACCGTCGCATGGTCTGAAAGGAATAATTGGCGTGGAATAATAATAAAAAATCGACTTCGTTTTCCTAAAACCATTATGCGGAGTGAAATCTACCGAATTATAGCCCTATCATCTTAACGACGTTTCAACGGATGCACCCAATAAACATTAATGCAAGGGACTGAGCATTCCTTTATATTCGTTGATTCATCCATGTAATCCTCGAATATTCAGTTCGTCTCGTCATCCAGGTCGATCACGTACGACGAAACGGCGAACACGAACTCCGGCGATGAGGCGATTTTTTTTTTGCTGCGTACGGTTTCATTGGAAGGAGAATTGACAAGGTCATGCCCGTGTATAGGGCCGAATGACAAATGAAGGATGATGGAGAAGGGGCGTTTTTTCGTTCACCTGGATATGACAAGCGAAACGTGGACGAACGGAACGGAATGGAATCCGGATGGCGTGGCGCATGGGGATAAGGAAGGGGCACCTGGGTCTTCTTTGTCCCCGCAGATACGGAGGAGGAAGCATTGCAAGAACATAAAAAGGAGCTTGTTTACTCGTTGAGGAAACAGGAACCTCGGAAATCAAAGAAGCCATGCATTCCATTTGGAATTAGATGATGCGCTTCCCTTTTTCGGATGAGAAATGATCCATTATTGTTTACTTTGGAGGACCTCCACGCCGTATATACAGCGGGCGACACATTCTTGGCCTCTCGAAGGCCCACGTCGGCGTCCATTGACGGAGATTCTTTGCGACCAAATTGCCCCCTCTTCGAGGGAAGAGTTGAGCCTCGTCGTCGTGACCGCGTGCTTTTGTCCTTGCAAAACAGATCTTGATACCGTCCAGACCAAACAGGACTGATGTCCAGGTGAAAAGAGCTATAGTCCCTTTGTTCTTGTTTTGTTGCCTCTGACTAGCCGGACAAGGACAAGCAAGCCCCTTCGTCTTTTGAAAAAAAAAAAAAAAATGGCCCTGAAGGGGTGGGTGCACATGCAATCCTATCCGGCTGCATCATCCTCAGGGTCTTTTAAGCTTATTATTGTCGGAATGCGCATTCAGGTGGACGTTTACCTTCCCATTTGCGATGTTATTACGACAGAGAGTGCCTGGGCGATACGACCGAGCACGGATCGGTTTCTCGCCGTGAATCGCTATCGGCAGCAAAGACGCCATTAGAGATGAATAAATCTCGGCTCGAGAACGGCGTAATGCCAGACTTATTTACTTATTTTTAATATTTAATATTTAATTAATTTTTTTGGTCGGAACAGGTCACATCTCTCAATCGAACGCTTGGAGCAATTCAAGAATTCACCCAAAAGAGATGCGGCCAAAGTCACTAGTTCGTGAGAGATCTTAATTAGTAATACTTTCACGGTCAAAATAATGAACTGCCTTCGCGAAGAATCGCACAACTGCAGCTTGCATGTTTATGGGGTAAAAAGCACGCTATGTGTGGTCTCCGAGAACGAAAATTAGGAAATTGCTTCCAGCTTTCAGTTCCGGTTTTTTTTTTTCGGTTGAAAACCGGTCTCAAGCCAGGATGGTATCTGCCACGGAATTATTTCCATCAGCTGTCACTCTCGACTTCCTTCGGCCATTCCTTCGGCCATTCATTCGGCCATAAAGCAGCTGCGAGATCAAGGAATTCCTCGATCTTCCGTTTGGCAAGGAAATTGTTTCGACTTATTTCAGGCAATTCAGTCTATCTATTTAATAAATGCAATAAATGTAAATGAATATATTCAATTCTGTTTTTTTTTTGTCGAAAATCAAGAGAGAGAGGAAAGTAAAATCAATCTTTGCAATTTGAGACTCGGTTTCTTACAGTAGCAAGAATTTTTGCGATTTTGCTGGATTGGATACGAGAATTAATTATTAGTTTACATGCGAAAAAAAACTTGAGTTTCGCAATTTTAGCGGAACTGCCGTCTTTATTGCTCTCTCCCTCTCGTTCTCTCACTGTTTATGCAAGAAAAGAGCATTAATCTTTTAGGGGAACTGTTTTTGCCAATTTTCGCAGAGTAACAGGGTGTATCCCTGGAAATAACCAAAAGTAAGGTCGGGTCTGTGACGTTGGAGATTTCCATGCATCACCTAATGAGTAGAAGAAGGGAAAGCGTAGAAAGGATTGGGATTTCGCCTTTCAATCGAAAGGGTTTATCGATGAAAGGCAAAATCTGATGGACCTTTTCATCGTGCCATGTTGTACGTTTCTTCCTTTTTGCGACCTTTTTCGATTCCAGAGTCTTTCATGCAGTCCCATTGCAGATTCGATGCGCCACTCGATGTGGGTCGAAGTGGGTCGAAGTGGGTCGAAGTAGATTTGTCGTATCACTGTCTGATGACAAAGGCAAAAATGTGTAGGGTCATGGACTGACCATCCTTCGTGGTTCTTTTTCTTTTTTAACCCGTTCGTCAACAGAGTTCTCGATGGAGGAAGGCAGGGGACAAAGGACAGTAAATTGATGACCGGGGCAACCTCAGCACCGGGCTCCTGTGCCAACAATCGAAGAAAGGGAAGAGAGGGAGACCGACGACGATTGCATCACCTCTTTCGGAATGCAAACAAGCTTTTTGGGCTGTAGGCCCAGAGGAGGGACGCATCTGCTCTCTTTTGTGGATGGATCTAAGCCATGCCTAAAAACCCACCTGTCCTGTGGGGCTGGTGGGGGCCTCTGGGGCCCTGGCTCTGGCACGCGCCCGTCGGGCACAAAACCATTTTTTCCTCCCCCCTCCCCTCCTCCTCTCTGAATATAATTAAATTTGCCGCTGTCGCGTGCGCCATTGAAAAAGAACCCCCCCCCCCCCCCCCCCCCCCCCCCCCCCCCCCCCCCCCCCCGAAGATCCCATCCAGGCCACTGGTTTCGGGGTCCCTTCGATAAATAGCACCCCCTGCCACCTTCCCTCCATACAGATCTGAATCTCTTCCGATGGGATGTCCGCATGCTTTCACGTGTTATGCTCGATGAGGAAGCACGTGTTCTTTCGGTGTCTGCTCAGCACCTGTTCGTTGGCTCAGAACACGCTCGCCGTCGCGTCATGCCACTGGCGGAAAACAATTCTGACAACCGTTGCATGCTGTAAGTGTTGCACACGCGTCGCTATGTGAAAACGCCTCAAACTTGCTCCATTCGTAAAAGTTCAGATTTAGTTCAGTAAAGTTCAAAATTCACCCCAGTGAAATTCTCTTCCATTTCCATCAAATCGCTTTGTTTGAACTTCCAAAGTTCAGACTAAGAGATTTGGTGGTTGCGATTGCACACGCGATCTTTAAATTTAAAATAATCTCGAGCGAGACATGTTCTATTGAAAGGTTCTGAACTGAAGATCCTGTAGCTCTAATTCCTGGTCCTTGCACTTTCCTGGTCCTGGTCCTTGCTCTTTCTTTTTCATCTCTAGGCCTCTTCCACGCGCATCTTCAAAATTCGC